GGGTGGCTGGGTGACTCAGCCTTTGCACTCCATTATTGTTTTTTGTGCTGCTTGTTTGGTAAGGCCCCTGTATGTTCTTGTGTCACAGACCCATTGAAATACACACTGTCTGGGTCCATCCACCAGTGAAATAGTTAACAAGTGACTGAGAATCATAGAAAATGAAGGCTGGAAGGGACCTCAGGAGGTCACATCTAGTCCAAGCCCCTGCTCAAAGCAGGACGATCCCAAATTAGATCATCCCAGCCAAGGTTTTGCCTAGCCAGGTCTTAAAACCTCCAAGGATAGAGAGTCCACAGCCTCTCTGGGTAACCTGTTCCAGTGCTTTACTATACTCCTAGTGATAACTTTCTTCCTAATATCTAACCTAAACTTCCCTTGCTTCAACTTGAGCCCATTGCTCTTTGTTCTATCATCTGCCGCCACTGAGAACAGTCCGGCTCCACTTCCTTCAGACTGAAGTAAATGAAATGAAATAGGGAAGAGCAAAGCAAAAGCTGCCCCTTTACCGGTTCTCGTGGGTTGTTGGGGCTTTGTCCCGTCTCCACAGACCACTGGCAGCGCTGGAAGGGCAGGACGACATCCCCAGCTCTCTGAGGGTCAAACACGGGGTCTCCTCGTGGAATGGGGATGTTCAAGAACTCAGCAGGGCAGCCAGGTCTCTCCACTGCCCGGACTTCAGAGAGCACATGGAAACCTGTGGGACACCCAAGCAGAGACATGGATTGAGGCAGCCAGGTGGGAATGGATTGTAAATGGATTCCAGCACCCATGAGACCCAAGCACATTATCTAGCCCAGTGCTAACATACCAGTAGCTACTTTGGTTTCAGCCCTGTGGAGTGAGCAGTGGAAGCAGGGCTGAAGGCAGGGCTGCTGAGTGGAAGACCCTGCTGTACAGTGATCAGAAGTCTCTGCCTTTGATCTACTGTGAGACCATGAGCAAGTCACTTGACCTCCCTCTGCCTCACTTCTCTTTCTGAAAAACAGGGCTTGTTACTCCCCTCTCTATGGAGCTTAACTTGAGATCTCCAAATGAAAAATGAATGCTACAGAAGGACAAAGCTGATAACAAGGGCAGAGTCATTTAGCCACCAGGGAATAAATCAGACAGAGTCTCAGCCAGTGGCTATTCAGAGGATACCAACTTGTTCCACCTTTCATCTGCAGTATGGCTCCTGGCTTACTGTTGTTCCTCTCTTCCCCCTGAGCTTCCCCTATTATGACTGCCACAAGGCAGCAATTGGCCTGGGGCGGACCCAACCTTTTTGGCAGGAATTCCACAAATTAGCCCTGCACGCTCCCTAAGCACGCCTCCAGTCCCCTTCCCCTGCCCCATGAGCTGCTTTGCTTTCTGCTTCCTGCCCTATCTGCTGCCTGTCCCCTCCCCGATCCGATCCATCATGTACTGCACTCAGAGGCTGCCCATGCCATTTGTGACACATGTACTAGAGGTTGGCCATCCCTGTCATAGAGGATTGCCTTTCACTGGGAGCAGAGCTCACCTTCCTGCTTTGGAAGCACTCTAGCCCAAATGCAAGCTGTGAACTCAGTGCAGGGGATGGCTGGATGAAGCCTCCTGACCTGTGCCCCACAGGAGGGCGGACCAGAGGTGACTAAAAGTGTCTTCTAGCCTTGAAATGGGAGAGTCTATGAGAAGAGAGGACAGAACGCAGGCCAAGGCTTGCACTGCCAGCCACCCTGGATCCCTGCCATCCCCAGCTCTGGCTATGAGCTTTTTCTCAGCCACCAGCAGCAACAGGCAAAAAAAAATAAAGCCCAATACAGCCATCTGCGAAGTGTAACAGGGAAGTTGAGTGATTTCCCCATGCCTGTGCCTCCCAAGTGCAGCAGGGATGCTGCTGACTGGCTTAGCCAAGGACAGCCCCAAGACTGCCCCAGGTGAACCATGTGTTTTGTCTCACCTCAGGGAGATTAAAGGAAGCAATAACCTATGCCTGTTTTCTCTTCCTCCTTCTCTTTCCAGCTAACGGTGAATCTCCACCCTGTTTGTGTTGCCTGTTTGGGCATGAACTTGGGGATGACATTCTTCCAGCCTGACTCAAAGGCAAACATTTAGTTTCCAATACAAGTCCCACAGGCCTCTGTGAGAGGTCTCTCACACCAGTGCTGAAGAAGAGCCTTCCTGCAGGGCGCTGTGGGACTCAGGGGGCACATGCCCACGGAGAACGCTCTGTATGAACAAATCTCATTTGGAGAGGACCCAGCAGGCCTGCCTGATCCCAGGCACCCAGGACTATAGGAAAGGAAATAGTGGCAGCACATGATGGTTGGATGTTTAGCTGCTATCCTGAGATAGGTAGGATGACAGGTGGTTATTACTGGCATATCTACATGAGATGCTATGGCGCTTTAGCAATGAGCTATGATGACGTAGCTTGTTGCTACGGTGACTTAGCATCAGCAGGCACGAACTGTGATGCCAAAGCTACTGTGCAGTAGCTTGTTGCTACTGTGCAGTAGGTTCAGAAATGACCCATGCACTGGCAGGACTATGCAGTAACACCTGTGCAGTCAGGGGCACATGTAGATGCACCCACTGAGATTTGCCATTTGGTGGGGAAGCAGGCAATAGCTTGTTTGCATTGAGGAACCAGGTACCTCTGATTAGCCACAGAGAGATGGCACATCCACCAGTGAAAATTACACGATGGTAGTTTTACCCTAGTACTTTCAGGCATAGATCTACTTCAAGTTGGGTGGTTACTCCAGGTTAGGAATTTACATTGTCTGTCTGATCCTTTTATATACTGCTATAAAGAGCAAGTATACCAGTGTAAATGTGTCATCAACACTGACCCTGGGTTTAAATATCAGAAACGTTTAAAGCCATTCAGACAATTCCACTACGTACATCCACGTGCATCCATTACAAACCATTAAAATGAATAGAAGACAAGTATCAAAACTGCCTCTGCGGCTTTGACAATTTCTGTAACCTATTTTTTTTAACACCCCAGAGATTCACAAGGCCCAAGGGCATCCCATAAGCTATGGAAGAGTCTATCTCAGGCAGTAGCAATTCTGTCTCCACAGGAGTCATGCATTGTTGCTATGGAGCTAAAAAAAATCTAAGAAATTAATCTAAAAAAAAGGAAATGTGCATGCAGCAAAGGTCAGACTTGAGGGTAACTGCCGCTGCTCCCTGCAGCTCACCCAACTGTTTATTTTGTAGTGTAACCTTAGCTTAGCAATTGCAAGGATCCATGCACTGTGTGTGAGCTGTTTTGGAATCATGAGTTTCAATGTCCCCTGAATTAGCTTACTGTTGGGAGATAACTCTAGAGATGGCCCAGATGGATGTTGTTTCCCTGCTAGACCCATTTGATTCTTACCAAAGGAGACAAACAGCACAGTCATGTTCCTGTTGGAGGGTATTCCAGAATTTCCCCGGGCCAACACGTTGCTGAGTCTGCGGGCATTGGGCACATGTGGTTCCTGCAGTGCCTGGTACACCCCATCGGCATAGTTGGCTGGCAGCAAGCGCAGCAGATTGGAACCTGGTGGCAGCAAAATGACATCTCACAGCATCCAGAGATTGCAGTGAAAGTGGGATTGAGGAATATTGGGCAGAATATGAAGGGACTGGGATGCTCGGAGTTCCTGGGGCAAAGCAGTTAGGGAACAGCTCTCCAGAGAATGTAGCTTCCAGTAGTGTATTACAAAGCCTCTCTTTCATTGCAATTGTTTTCTTATCAGTATGATTGTTGCTGCAAAGCCATACCTCACTGATGCCAGGGGACATTTGCAAACTAATAACAGGAGTTTTTTTAACCAGTACAGAGCATGCAGGCCAAAACCCTCTGAGCAGAATAAATGACAGATGCCTCAGAGGATGCTGCAAAATCCCCTTAAAGCAACGGGTCCCTTACTCTGTACTATCACGTGTCTCATGAGAAAGATCAGGAATTCCTTCCTCATTCAGGGGATAATCAGCTCCTGCCTGAAGCCTGATGATTCACTACATAGAATGTGTTTGATGATGTTTTTATTCAAATCGATACCCAATCTGTTTTGGCATCTTGCTAAGTGTCCTGACTCAATCTGACAGGGGATTCTCTGGGCTGATTGTAAATTGTGAAGCAAAAACATCTCCTTCCCCCAGGCTTCCTTCCTTCCTGAGCCTGGCACAACAGAGGGAGAACACACTGACAAAATGACTGCACCAGAAAGTCAGGTTTCATATTAATTTCAACTGAGGGGCATAAGTGGCACCTCTCCCTATCTTTCAGATGCCTGGCAATCATTTAAAATAGGGCTGTCCAACTAACTTCTTTGACCCCACAGGCTGGATCCAATTTTATGGGGCTTCTCATAGGTTGGACAACCCATCCCCAGCAATGGGGCAGTGGCTTATTGGCATGGCTGCCAGAGGCACTGCAGTGGCGAGGCCTCAGGACCCAGGGGCTGAACACTACCATGATTCACCCTCCACCTCCTTCCATGCTGCCAATCAGAGTTACTAATGGCAACCAGAGACCCTGAATTCAGTGGCAGGCAAGGGAGGCACAGGTGGTGAGTGGGGAGGGGTGAGCCATGGTAGCATTCACCCCCTGCGTTCTGGACCCATCCCAAAGCAGTGGCTTTGTGCCAACAAGCCCCATGGGCTACATTTTAACCCTTCAGTTGGTAGCCACTACTTGGCAGCAGGACAACCCTACCTACAAGAAACAGATCCCCTAGGGGGCATTACTGCCCCCCAAAACAAAAAAAATAAAGAAGTGAAATCACCCAGCTCAGAGCTGAAAACAACATCAAGCTCATGAAGCAAATGGTCCCTGCAATGTGCCTCAAGCTCAGTGAAGTGACACTATTTCTGGCTAAGAAGTCCAGTCAGCCAGGGCCAAAAGGCCCTGATTCAGCAAGCAAGACCCTGATGGTTCTCCAAGGGGATCCAGCTGCAGCCCCATGAGAGGAGGAAAGAGGCATCTCTCAGGTAGTTACAGCCAACACCTTACTATCCAGCCAGCAACCATCATGCAGTCAGTGCAGATCGCAAAGTGCTGCAGTGCTCCCAAGGAGATGCCTCAGGCATGGTCTCCACTAAAGACCTCTGCTCGGTTAGTGTTGCTTGGTTAGGCAGGAGTGTGAACATAATATCACTGCCCTGACTGACATAGCTCAGTGCTGGTGAAAGCCTTTACATAGGTTCTATTATACCAGCAAAAAAGTATTGTTGTTGAGATAACTTACTTTTGCTTGGGATCTGACATAAGCTTCAGCCAGGACCATAACTTCCAGCATAACCTGCTTGCTGGTACTCACTTTGTCTCTGCCTGGAAGGTTTGCTACACTGTCCCTTGGGAGTACTGCTGACCCAACAAACCTGGATGAGGCCCAAACAAAGAAGCAGCCATGTACCCTCCAGTGTGAGGGTCTGCAGAGGTTTATGCCTGGATTTTCAAAAACTCCTAAGGGAGTTGAATACCTGTCACCCACCAGAAGTCACTGAAAGGTAGGTCACTTGCTCCCTTAGATGCTTTTGAAAATCCAGAGGCATAGCTCCATGGAGGACATATGCCAGGCTACTGAGGTCTGTGAAATACTGCAGTGGGTTTTGGAGCAGACCAATAAAGCCTGCTGTGATGATCCAACATGAGGGGGGCAAAGGGCACAGCTGACAGCTCTGCCTATTTGTGACAGCAAAGGTCACAGTCGCTTGGTCATACCCCAGTGATAACAAAAGGGGTATCATAGTCTTCCCAAATCAAGCTGAAATCTAACAACACCCTGACATGCAACAGTGGAACTAGGGTAGGACAAACAGGCAATCACCCCAGGCACCAACCTGGGGGCATAAAAAAACCCCCAGCCACTGCCAGCAGCTGCACAATCACAATTGTGAGCACACAGCACCCAAAAGCTGTCACTGCTCCTGTGCCCCGGGTGCCCAGCTGCATCCCTATGCTACTGCCCACATGGCAACCATGAAAAAGCATTGGTGGTTGCTTTCTCAGCCCAGGGTGCTGGCATTACCACTGTTGTCTCCTCTAGCTCCTGTCCCCAGCCCACCATCTGCTGCTCCATTTGAGCCATCAGTGCCTGGCCTTCACTCAAGCCACCATCATAAACAGACCTTTATGAAGGCAGAATGATCCATCGCCATCCACTCTAGCCTGACCCTTCAAAGTCACCAGCACTGGCACACAATGTTCCCACACTCACCTGCAGAACCATGGCTGTGATGCTGCAGGTTGTTGTACCAGCCATCATAGCGCTGGACTTCCCAGCTGATGTTCTCCTGGGCACCTGTGGAGATAGCAGACCCCCAGGACCATGTTCAGATGTGACAGTAGGACCAGAGAGAGACAGCTGTTACAAGGGGTGGTGGGATTAAGCCTACTAAAGAGAATACAAGGTTAGTTTTGTACCTTGGGCAAGTGGAGCAAACTAACACCAAATTCTCCAGAGATTATAAGAAGGGCCCTGGACTGGTAAGGCTGGCATCCCGACTGCCAAAAGGATAATAGAGCAGCTCATCATATAGACAGCAGAGGCTGCACTTTCTAACAGGATGAGGTAGTTCCCTCTATTACAAAAGCCAGGCTGCATTTCAATGTAGTGCATTGTCACCTGCCTCAAAGTGAGGGTTGGACTCCTTCCAGTCAGCAGTCAAAAGCACAGCAAATGGACCAAACAGAAAAATAATACTAAAGATATAACCCAGCAGCCAAAGCCCAGGGCATACACTAGCATGGACCTGTCACTGAATGGAGCATGCCTCCTCCTCATCTCCTGCATGAGATACATCACCTGAACTAGTGGTGGTCACTGCCTGGGGCACCCTGGGAGGTTACCATTCAAAGCACTGGACTTAGCAATGACACTTATCCCACCAATCACATCTATGGACACACATTCCACACCTTCCCCAAGAAACGCTGCCTGGTCCAGCGTCTTCTTTTACTGCAAGGCACCCAAAGAGCCATCAGAAAATGTGAGACACTGCAGTACACCAGTAGCTGCATGCAGGGGAAGAGGTGAAGTGTCATCACTGTTGTCATTATTCCCTAACCACAGTAGTAGTACAAGGCCCCTGACACAGTAGTAGATGCTGTGCACAAACACAGAGGTAGGCATGCACCCAGCCTCAGAAAGCTTCCCATGTCAGAAGTGCAGTGTAGTGTCTCCTTGTGTGTTCACACATTTAATTGTGCCTTTCCTGTTCCAAGCTCCATGCTCTGGGGCATCCTGATACATAGCAGCTCCCTTTGCTGTCAGGCAACACTCCTGGGTAGAATCCCCCCCAGGTCACAACAGGGACCTCCCTCTGATTCCAAGCCTGGGAATGGTACTCACCCACCAAGCTGCATGTCCCCAGCAGAAGTATCCAAAACAAGGGCAGATGCCACATCTCAAGCTTCACCATGACTGCTCTGTACTGCCTGGGAGACCACACAACTGAAGCTAATGAAAGCAGAGAGAAAAAACAAGTGAACTGGAGCCAAAGGAGACTTTCAAAAGCATGCGAGGTCTCAGTGTTTCACAGAGAATGGAAACAAGAGGACACATTCCAGGTGGGACTGATGCTAACCTGCCTCTGAACATAATAGGGTGTGCTCATGCGGAGGAAGGTTAAAGGGAGTTCAAATCCCATTGTCTTCAAGAGGAGCCCTGCCCACTAACTCCAGCCTCAAGCAGCCAGTGCTGCTTCTAGACACTAGGGCCTTCGTCACCTTCAGGTTACCACTCCACATGCTTTACATGGGACAGCACCTGAAGATTACCTGGAAACTTCAGTTCATGAGAAAGGAAGCTTAATGGGATTCCTCACAAAAAGTCTGTTACATCTTTGGTCCAGAGTTAGAACTGACTCCCATTTCATGTCTGGGTGCAAGTCAAGGTACTGGTTTTGGTCTATTAAGCCCCTTGTAGCTTGGTTTATGAGTAAGGCTGCCTTAATCTTGTGGGATGGCAGCTGCAAAAAGCAACTGGGATACTTCAGCTAAGAGTTCTCAGCTTTGAATGCAAGAAGCTGAGGAGCAGGCCATTCTCAGGAAAAGGGGCCTTGGCTCTGGGATTCATCCCTCCACCTTGGATTGCTGGCCCCACTGAGTCCATTGACTATCAGGGCACACTGTAAGCCTGTTTCCCCTGTTGACTCCAGGAAATATTGGGCTCCTGGGTTGGGGAGGATCATCACTGCAGCTGTGGAACCATATCCATACATTTGCAAATGAATTTGTAGGTAGGGTTTGGGTTCGGGGGGGGGGGGTACCTAGAACAGCAACATCATTCAGTGAAATACCTCTAAGCATTTGCACCAACTAAGAGTTGGGAAAAAGGGACAGGACTGGGTGTCACAGGACCCAAGGTTGCTTTTTTTCACCTGTCAAAAACTCTTTGAGTGACCTTGGGCACTATTTCACTCAGTGGCCTGAAGTATAAAACAGGCATGGCAATATCTCCCTACCTCCCATAGTGCTTAACAGCTTAACAGCTTTGAGGAGCTCGTACACATCAGTGCTGTGAGCAATGGAAAAGTACTTCAATGAATGGGCATGTGCCATATGAGTTCTTCACTTATTGCAGAAGTAAAACAATCACCTGAGGTGGTAGCCCTTAAGAAATTGTGTTTAGCCTGGCAGCCTGCCTATAGGCTACTGTAATCCAAAACCACTGCATCTGGATTTTAAAGTGACAGTACAGATTCTAGGTGCAGCACGCAGAAGTTTGTAAACCTTTGCCACCTTCCGATGCAGTGGAGATTGGACTAAATCAGGATGGTCTAACTGTTGGCCTGTAGCCTGCATGTTCTGGTCCCCAGGCTTCTGCCCAACCCCTACTCCCCACATTGCTCTGACTGCAAGAGCAGCTGCAGTCTTTGGTCTCCCCCTCCTTCCTCCAGGTTTTGCTGTCTGCTCCAGCCCCAGGGAACAGGCATGGTACAGCAGGAGCATCCACATGGCATGCATCTTGGGGATCCATGGCTTGCCCTGGTGCGGCCCGCAGGTGTTTGACCCCTGTTAGAGTTGCTTTGAAGGCGTTAGGCCTCCAGCCACTTAGAAGTTGGACAGACCTGGACTAGATTACTTTTGAGGCCCCTTCCAACCCTGTGACTCCATCTTTCATTTGCCCCATCAGAATGCATGGACACACTCTATTTATATCATTGCAGGCTATTTTTTCTACAGAAATTCTACTTTGTGGAACCACAGTGATCCTTGGCATTGTTCCTCGGTGTTCAGGTCTTCAGTTCTACAATACAAACCTTGGGCAAAGAGAGTTAGCTGACAGGTGAGAAGCAAGTGGATTTTGGTGATATCTGTTGCCTGGAACAACTGGATAGAAATGTTAAACAGATTTTCAGACACAATGTACCCTTCCTCACAGAGGAAGTTGGTCTAGTAAAAGATATTGCCTCTACAACACTGATTGCTTCCTAACAGAGGCACCTGAGGAATAGCACTTTGTGCCCAAGAGCTTGTCTAACATCTCTGCCAACTGTACAGTTGGTCCAAACAAGATATCACCAAAACCCCCATGCTTCTCACATATTTCTTGGACCATTATGGCTACAAGATGCCAACTCCCTTAACTAATGGGGGTGTTGGTTGTAGCCATATTGATCTAAGGACATAGGCAGACAAGGTTCTGTGGGTAAATCCAATATCTTTTATTAGACCAACTAAAATAACTGGAAAACTTCTCTGCAAGCTTTTGGGTAAAAACACCCTTCTTCAGGCAGAGATGCAGTACTGCAGATGCTTCCTCTGCCTGAAGAAGGGTATTTGCACCCGAAAGCTTGCAAAGAAGAATTTTTCCAACTATTTTAGTTTGTCTAATGAAAGGTATTGGAGTTACCCAAAGAATCCTAACTAATAGGAGCATTTTTTGCTAGGCAGCAGCCACTAGAGGGCAATGAGATACATGTTGTGCCAGTGGGTTTCCTATAGTGATGATGCAGGGATAAGAGAAAAAATATTTGTGAAGCGATGTATTATCTTTTACTGGAGCAACTGGTTTAGATGGAGGAGATATGGGATACGTTTTTGGGCTCTCAGCACCCTTCTAACTGGTCTGGGAAGGAGGCAGTCACAGTTCAAGCTAGGCTCAAGCTAGAGCAATTTCTTTAATTTAACCCAATTCTGCTCATGAATGTGGTCCTTGAAAGGGAAGTGGGTTTCACAGAAGCTTTGCCCACAGCAGAGGAATGCTGAAGCTCAAGTATCCTGGGTTCAATACCATGTTCTGGTTGGCAGTGTATTCTAGTACCAGGTAATGACCGTCCCTTGTCCCCACACTCCCAACACAGAATAGCATTTTGTGGATGCTTCCAAAGAGACTTTTTCTCTTTGCCTTGTAGAAGGATCTTCAGCGGCTAGACAAAAAGCGGTGTAGTTGATATAAACAAAGTTCTGGACGTTATATGATCTTTCTTCTTCTTCCATATTCCTATACTACAAGCTTCAATGACACGGTGGGCTTTTCATATACATTATATAGAAGCTAATGGAATGTACATTTTCTATCTGATTTTTAGAAAGCTCTCCATTGGGCCTACAATTGTATAGGTTCAGTATTGTACTTGCAGATGATCATTCTGGGACCTTTCACCTATAATTAAGAGCAGGCACAAAAATTACAGCATGTAAAATATTAACTACATGCTCCATGGGCCTAATTAGGTGTTGCTAAATCTAAATGCTACCCTTCTGCGCCCACAGTTAATTGTGGTCATGAAACTCTGCCCACAGAACAGGATGCTATCTCCAGAAAGCCAGCCCCCGGTTGGCATAAGGGAGAAACACTTTAAAAACCATGTTTACTGCACATTTTTTACATTACAGGTAGTGTGGTATTCTATAAGCAGATTTTCCTTGCTCTGCTGTAAGTTGTTCCTGTATACTTCCCCTCATTCTGTAATAGTGAATCTCAAATCTGCACATTGCAAAACATGATTGCAGGTATATTGCTTCATTAGCTTTCAAAAGGAAATATAACTTTATGATGTAGAGATTCAAGATGAAATCATTACTAAAAGTCCTTCTACATTTAAAGATAAAGTCCCTGCAAACTAATTGGTAATAGCTCCTTTCAGTCACAAAAGTCATTACCTGACAAGATCATTTCTAGATTAAAGAGTTACAGTCACATTTACAAACATGGCCTCTAATTTCAGGTGCCTGAGACAACCTGATGTCACATTAACCCAAAGAGATTCTGAGCATAACTAGCCCTCATGACTCTGCAAGGAGAATATTACCCACAGCAGCAGTCAAAGCAAAGCACTCTTAGAAAGAGACTCTTACAATACTGCCTCATACACAGCTGTTTCTCACTAGCTAAAAACTGCATCCTCAGGATATTATTTAGATTGCAATAAAATGCACAGAGAAAGCAGAGACACTCTCATGGCCCCAGAGGGACAGCATTCCATCTCCAGCTCCCCCTGTGCAAAAATGAAGTTTATTTCCTACCTATGGGGACATTTTACCATCTTGTACCATCTACACTTTTCCCAGAGCCTGACAAAGGGACTTTGATCCCAAAAGCTTGTAGAAAAGGACAATTTTCTTGCCATTTTCCAGCTGGTATAATAAAAGGTATCATATTGGAACCAAGAGTTCTAGATTTTTGTATGTCAGAGAAAGCAGAAAACTTCTGCTCTAGGCCTATGTATAATAAACAGCAGAGAAACAGAGAATATTGTATAGGAAAACATTAAAGATATGGCAATAAATGGAGTGTCTGGTCTTCTGCAATTTCAGCTAAGGAAGGTCCTGGTCACTACCATTAAGGCATTACATAGTTTTCTATGCCATGGTATCAGTCAGGGTTTTTTAATTCAAGTAATATGACATTTTCCTGGGCAAGTGCATCCAATAAGCTAGTAACACAGCCCAGAACTGCCTGCAGGAACAAAAAGGAGGCATTACATTTTTCAATCTTAGTCCTATTATGAAGGAAAGGTCTGTCCATATCAGCTCATTGGGCTGGTGTACGTAAGGCACTCCAATGATATGCAAAGGAGTGATGTGGCCAGCATCACTTCCAGCCAGCTCTGATTCCCCACCCTGAATGATGAGCTGGGCTACCTGGGGACAACTAATGTCATGGGTCCAGAGCAGGGCTTGGACCTTCAGAACCTCTCAGTTTCAAGCAGAGATGTGGGTTTTCCAGAAAATGTTCCAATACCCTAAATAGAGCATGATCTGATTTAGCATGTTTATTTGATTTATATTTAGTAAATAAAACTAAAAAAGTACCCCCATGTTAATTTTATGTCCCTATAGCCACAAGTATTTGAACTGAAATATTTGATTAGGAAAAGCATTAAATACAGCACACTTAATGTGGTTTAACTGTTATATTCAAACAAATTCAAAGTTTTATGTGGAAATAAATTATTTTTATTGGAATACTTGTAAAAATGTAAAGACAATACACAATAGCATGT